CGACCAGGTAATACCATTTAAGGCGGTGATGGCCAATATAAAGGATTATAATATTAATTAATTGCTCTCAAACTGATAGGCAGTTTTTTTCTTTCCTGGTTTACGAGTTACGATTGTAGTTCAACATGTTTGTGTGGGCTGCTCCTGTTTTTGCTAATTTGTAAGCCTATATCTTTCCTTCAACTATCCCGTTTTCTGGCACCCACGTCAGAGTTGCTTTCGTTTTCCTCGGAGTTTTCCGTTTAAAAAAAGAAAAAACCCTGATCAGGTAAAAGCTTGAAAACTGAACAATCCACCGCATTCGGAAAGTACATTCAAGCTGAAATAAAAATCAATGCTTGTGCCACGGAATAAAAAAATACACTGACAAAGATCTTCAAAATGTCAGCCAGCCATGCGGCTCTAAAACATTAGTACGTAAAAAGGTTACATCCAAAAAATCAGTTAATGCATCTTAAATCTGGAACGACATAACTTGAACAACATAACATAATGTTGGTGCCAGGAAACATAAGGGGTGCTGGGTAAAGAAAAACAGACGAAAAGGCCAGAAGAGATCTTCTAGGGCCCGCAAAGAACAAAAGTAGTAATTGGACAAATTCCAGAGTTGCCAAAAATAGAAAAACTTATAATTAAAGAACCTTCACCAAAACTACCAAACACATTGATACAGGGTAAAACGCAGGAGTGTGGTAATTCTACTGGTCGCTAAAATTTGAAAAGACGCCTAAGCAACATGCTGACCGTAGGTTATGCAATGAGAAAGTAAAAACAGCCACCCATCTTAGCGTGCGAAGGAAATGCTCAACGGATACCAAGAAGACCCGGAAAAAGATGGCAATCAATGGCTTAATACTTCTTAACAGAGTCAATTGATCTATGGAACAAAAAATGTACAACAAGCAGAAAGATTGCAGTGCTTGGGCAATCAAAAACCCCACTTCCTACAATCCATTATAATCATCATCACTATTTCCCAAGAGTCTAAAGCCCTCATTGATGCTTTTTTGGAGAATTTGTATATCTCTGCACCGTTCAATCTCTTTTTAAGCCTTTTTTATCCTCGTATTTTTATTGCACTTCAGCTTGGATAATTAATGGTGTGGGACCGAGAACTGAATGTAAATAGTGCTTTTGACTCCAGCTCCCAACGCTTGTTTAATTGTAATTCTATATATTTACTATAATAATGCCCATCTATTAGTTTCAGTGCTTTTTATTCTTCCAAACATCTCTTTTCTTAAATTTGGTAAGATCTGTCAAAATGTTGTTTTAAATTTCATTGTAGAAGCCATTTCATTTTAGGTTTCTATGGATGGTTTTTCTTTGTCTGTATATAATTTTGTCTTGTCTGTTTGCACTTATATCAATTTTATAGCGTAGGTTTTATTTTCAAACATTGCACGTTAAATCAGATTCTATTCATGTAGTTATGTATTCAATGTTTGAGAGCTTACGATAAACAAAACCTATTTAATTTTTTTCAAGATTGGGTAGTTTCTGAGGAAGCCAGGGGTGGCACACGAAATTTGTCATGCAGATTGTTAATCTTCTGACTAATTTAATTGTGTTATTAACGTTGTTTTAAATTTTACTTTTTGTAATGTATCTTATTGTTCATTCACCCGTTGCTACCCGACGCAAATCCAAACTCCGATTTTCCATAAGGTTGCATTACCCCCGTGCACATCTACCCGATGCTACCCGACGCAAATCCAAACTCCGATTTTCCATAAGGTTGCATTACCCCCGTGCACATCTACCTGATGCTATGCCACGCTAACCTACCCGACGCTCTGCGATCCCCACTGTCCAGATTTTCGTCGGGTCGCATCGAGTACAGTCGAAAACAAAAGAACCGGACAATCATATTTTTATTCAAACTACATGTATTATTGTCGTTATGTTAATTACAACATACTTATTTTAATATAAACCACATTAACTGTGATTAAAAATTAATTAGTTTTTATTTAAAAAATTAATTTTAATCGTTTGTTAGAAAATTAATCAAAACACAGGAATACGATTTTTTGGTATTTATTCAGAAATCGTGAGATGCGGTCTGGTGTGATGTACGTTTCAGAAAAACATTTTCTTTATCGTGCCAACGTTTCGATCTTTATTGAGATCATCTTCAGGGCCTGGGATTTACAAACATTGTGGAAAAAAGTGAATTTATACAATGCAATATATGTATATAATATTCAATCAAACCACCACACATTTTTTGATTCAATGAATTTAACTAACAATTTATTGAACCCGCTTCGGCGGTACATATACTAAAATTGTAACAATTTATTACACGGTTTTGCTCATAAAATTTAATTAACAATTTATTTCATCGTTTTGCTCGTAAAATTACACCATTTTCGTCGGGTAGCATAAGAACAGGACACTCATATTTTTTGTAGTTTATTTCAAACTAAGTACATGTAATTTTCTCGTTATATTAATTACAACATGTAATTTTAATGTAAACCAAATTAAACGACATAAAAAATGCATAAGTTTTTATAAACATTGTTTAATTATGATGGTTAGGAGAAACATTATTTAAAACAATTAAGTTTAACTAGCAATTTATTAGATGGTTGTGCTCATAAAATTTAACTAACAATTTATTACATGGCTGGACAAGGTTTTGCTCAAAATAGTGCATTAAGAGCAAAAGATGCGTTGCGATTGCGATAAACGCTGTGGACTGTACGCGACGTGGGCTTGCGTCGGATAGATCTGCACACCCCACCAAAACGTGGCAAGGTGTCGCGTAGCATCGGATAGCGTCGCATGGCGTAGCATCGGGTAAGTGTGTTCCCGGCTTAAAGGTATTGTTGCGAAAAGGGAAAAGTTAGGCTAAACCCTTGAAACCTGAATGTCACTCAGAAGTGTTTCACTTTGTGCCGGTAATTACGAATGTTTTAAACGCGTCTCTTTTTAATTGGAAGTTCGGTAACAGGGATGAAATTCTGTCCCTGGCGATAAAACACCAAAAGGATTTACAGACTAAATCGATAATTACAAACCTTCTGTACTAGGTTTGAAACTGAAATAATTTTCTTTGAAAACACTTTAAACGTAAATAGTAAAGCGAAAAAGCAAAAGGGGAATACGGTTTGAACAGAAACGAATTGTACACGATGGAAGAAAAACTTAGAGAAGTAAGGGCTTAGAGAAACTAATGTTCCCTGAATATTTAATCCAGAACAACGAAAAATCACTGTTCATCTGATTTAAGCAATACCATTCAACTTACAAAGCTCTCTAACTTAATAACAAATTGGTGTATCAACGACGAATATATACAAATTAATAATCTATAATATTAAATAAATAATAAGATAGAAAAAAAGAGATACTTATTTTATGTATCATAGTAGTATTTATCGTAATAGTATTTGAATATATATCTAAACAAATGCAGGTTTTTATTTAACATGTAGATAAATATATACCAGAATATATTAACATGTTATAAGGAAAAATGTAATAATATGTAATCATTTTGTCCCAGATTTTCTTCTCTCTAGCTGTTTTTTTATATTATTTTTTGGAAAATATACTTGATTGGCAATACAGGGGAGAATTGCTCGGGAGTTGTTTGTAAACAAGATATGGTCGGATGCTGTTTAATCAAACGTGGACATCACATTTGTCAAGAATGTCCGTAATAGTTCTGCAGCCTCCTTGCCCTTGAGAGTTTGTCCAATAAATGGGAAAGTTTTGAGACATTTGGATTATAGTTTTATTTACTCAAAAAGACAATTAAAATTTACTTGAAGCAAGACCAAAAACTTAGCTTTGGGGCGGTAGACGCGAAAGGTTTTAATATGTAAAACGCGTCTGATAGACCAAAACAACAAATAATATACATAGTAAAATAGTCGTAAACTAACCAGACATTAAATAAAGCATTGAAACGATCATTTTTATTCTTATAAAACCAAATTATTTTCTAATAATCACCAGATCCTTCAATGAAGATGGCGGGAAGCCGAACGCGACTGATAGACAAAACAAACTGGGTTTTAGTCTTCTTTTCAATACGCTTAACTATCAATCGTAATAAAAATATTCGAATATTTTGATAAGGCATGTTTTGTTCATTTATATGAATAAAAAGTTGTATTAGCTTGTTTTTATTGTCGAAACGAAAACTAAAAATATTCAATGAAGAAATAAACGTTTTTTTTAATGCGTCTTGGTTTCTGTCTGTTAAAAATTTCAATATGTAATGCTGAATATTTTCAATTAATCTAACACGAGAGGGTATTAGACTTGCCGTTTTTTTTGGAACAAAAATTTATATCAAATCTATAAGATTTGGGTTGAACGTTTCCCTATAAGTTATTCGGAAATCGTGAGATGCGGTCTGGTGTGACGTAGGTTTCAGAAAAACATTTTCTTTATCGTGCCAACGTTTCGATCTTTATTGAGATCATCTTCAGGGCCTGGGATTTACAGTTTTTCTGAAACCTACATCACACCAGGCCGCATCTCACGATTTCCAAATAATCATGGACTAACGGTCACTAATCACCACACGTTTCCCTATAAGATTGACAATTTACGAAATATTAAATTTCCAGGGAAACCTTTGTCTAACAACAGTGTGCACTCAGTGACATTTCAACTTCGACCAACATCGAAATTGTCGATTATCAAGAATAGATTTATTGGAAAGAATTAATTATTATCATTATTATTATTAATCAAACATTGTCAATCCTATGCAACTTTTAGGAAATTTTTTTTACAAAATTATATTTATTCGTATTTTTTAATTATACTGTTTCTTTTATAGATTTAAAGATTGTTTTTATAATTTTTTTGTTATATTCATGTGAATATCTCAATCCAGCGCCCTTGAAAAATGTATGCTGATGATTGAGTCTACTCTTTAAATATAGTAAAAAAATTTTAATTAATAAACATATTGTTTGTGTAAGTCACTATTGCATCGTTGAAGAACGTTTTTGTAGAAAAAGCGTACTGACCTCTTCGTAAATGAAGTTGTCGATCTCTTCCAGCGGTTTCCCATACAGATTAGAAGGAAAAGGCTCAAATTTGCAAGGCAGGACAGAGCCGTCCTCCACGCTGAGTTTTCTTTTTGGTTGGAAGCCATAGTCTTTGACCAATTGGGCGTTCCTCGATTCTTGTTTGTCCAAAGATTCACGAGTGAATGGTCTCACTTGTAATTTCACTTGTTGCTTGGAAGGCTTCTGCTGGCTGCCCGACGTAGCCGGTTGTGGCTCTTGGTACTTTGGAGGACCTCCAACAGCTCCCGGTATTCCACCTGGTATCCGCACGGGGAACATTTTACCCGACTATCCCATTTTAATGATAAAATGATCGCGCAACTAATCCCTTCATTCCACACGTTCCCAGAGTAGTGCATAGCAGTGGGCCGAATAACTCATAGATGTACCATCCATTAGCACTGGAACAAAACAAATCATACCATGTTAAAAAGAGAAACATTAATTATTTAAAAAAGTTATTTAAAAGATTCTTAGGGAGATTTGCTCAAAGTTTTACTCTGTAAATGTGCGTGTGTAGATAACGTTGAAAAATCTATGTTGAATTGAATGTCTCCAGAGAAGGCAGAGATGGGCCTACCTTGCTATATATCGCGTTGCAAATAACATTGTCCCAGATGAGATCGAGTATAGCAGGCAATATAAGGTTTCGACCCATTTTAGAGTATTATCCCATTAACCCGACCCCGTTCTGATATGTTAGCTTAATAAACATTCTCACGACAGTTCATATTTGAAGGTTTTAAAGGGTGCTTAAAAGGAATCCAAATTTTTTAAAGATTTTTTCTCCTATTTTAATATAAGCGTTTTTTTGGTTTTGTACCTTTTTATACATCTATTCTTATTTCATTTAATTGAATCCTGCATATTATATTCTTATTGTACTTCAAAAATCGATTGATACAATAATAACATGAAAAATATATACAGCTATAGGAAGCCAGATAATTGCTTTCTAGGAAAGGATGGGATCATGTAAGTATTTCAACATAGATCTATTGTAGAACTATGATTAATTCCATACAGTGGAAAATAGGCTTTTCCCCCCACAAAATTAAACACTTGCCCCGCTGCAACTTTACAGTCCTTTAGAGGCCTATAATTATTTTTAAATCTTCGAGAGAGAGAGAGAGAGAGAGAGAGGGGGAATTTATGTATCTTTTAGCTTACGTGCTTTTCTCCAGTTTTTGATTTTTTTCTCAAGACAATTTTCCAGCTTCAACTTTAGGTCTAACACTCTCCTAGTTGTGGCTCTGGTCCCATGGGTGAGAGTACTTCATGTGACTTCTTCGGCTGATCAGCCTATTCGTTTCCTTCAGTACTCTCATGTCCCGGAACCTACCGCAAGATGACCTTGTGCTCTCCTAGGATAATGCTTCACGTGCACAAAGTATATTTCCGATATCCAAGGAGTTTTGTTAGGGCTATACTTCAATCCTTTAACCACTACACCTACAAAGTGTTCCAACTTTAGTGTATGTTATTAGCTTCTTCCTGAATTTATTTAGAAATCGTGAGATGCGGTCTGGAGTGACGTAGGTTTCAGAAAAACATTTTCTTTATCGTGCCAACGTTTCGATCTTTATTGAGATCATCTTCAGGGACTGGGATTTACACACATTGTTTACATATAACAATTACATTTTGGACGTGGAAAAATGTAATTGTTATATGTAAACAATGTTTGTAAATCTCATGCCCTGAAGATGATCTCAATAAAAATCGAAACGTTGGCACGATAAAGAAAATGTTTTTCTGAAACCTACATCACACCAGACCGCACCTCAAGATTTCTAAATAAATATCGATTAACGATCACTAATCACCACACATTTCTTCCTGAATCTTGCGGCCTTCATTCTTTAATTTAAAACCACTTGGCAGAGTCTTCAAAGTCGATTTTTCTTCCCATTTTGTCAGATCCCATTATAGCCATCTAGTTTATATTTAGTCCATCCAGAATTTTGTGCTAGTTTTTCTTTACTTCTGACTTAATTTACATTTGAGAAAGAGAATGAAGCAGAATCGCCATGACTCTAAAAAGATCGAACTTCAACGGGCCTGTTCTTGGCAAACAAATGGGGCATCATTTTACCCTGAGTTTTTTCAAATTCCTGTCGAGAGATTTTGACCTGAAAAACAACAACAATATCAAGTCACTAGTTTTCGTTGTCCGCTTGACCAATTAATAACTTTCAATTAATTAAGGTTTTTAGTTGAGATAAAAAGTCAATGTCACGAGCGAGATTCGAACCCACGACCTTCGGCTAGATACGCCGCTACTCTACCACTTGAGGTATCTTGGCTTCGATCCACTCGGACACTAACTTCCGATCTATCTCAACCCCACTGCATTTTGTTGCAAAAAGGAGAGAAAATTCAAAGGTGGGGTTGAGATCGGAAGTTAGTGTCCGAGTGGATCGAAGTCATGATAGCTCAAGTGGTAGAATACCGGCGTATCTAGCCGAAGGTCGTGGGTTCGAATCCCGCTTGTGACAATGACTTTTTTATCTCAACTAAAAACCTTAATTAATTGAAACAATATAAAGGTTGAACAACAACAAATCCCACAATATTTATCCCCACATTCTGTGAACAAAATGTTTTGGCTAAAATCTAGCCTTTTGAGAGATTTCCTCCTGTGGTCTCCTGGATGAAATTGTAATTTGATCGATACCGATCATCTTGATCTGACTTTGCTGAATTCGTCTATCATTCGTGTTTCGGCAATTGTCATCTTCAGTGTTCGGTTTGTGTGATTTCGCTCCTACATGAAATATTCATAGTTTAATAATTACGTAATTTATACCTCCAAAAACGTATTCATATGTAATATCTATCAATAGCCAGTCAATAAATCGATACCAATTTGGTAAACCTATCGGAGCATATAATTTTCCTATAAGATAAAACTTATAAAACCTTTAATTTGTTTCAAGTGCTTTTTACTCAACTTAAACACAAAATGTAAATAGAAAAACACACCCTTATCTCGAAACTCGGCAGCATGCCAAATGATAAAAGTACAAGGCAGTATAAAAGGAGTTTGTATTGCGGTTGGGGTGAAGCACCAAAGTCCGGACTTGTTTACTTGTCCATGTCTGCAACGACACAAAGTGGGCCTAAAGGGAAAAACTGAACATAGTGCTATTTTTAATGTTTTTGTATAATTAACCCTTTATTCACAATTAGGTACAGATCGAAGGCATTCGGAGACCAATTGTCAAGACGCTACGAAAATCAGCACAGTGATAAGTGCTTATTAAAACGGGAAAAATATGAACAAATTTGGTTGAGTTTCGTAAAGCAATATTTGACGTTTTTACTCATTTAAAATTTCGACTGTTTTTTCTTTAAAAAAATGCTATTTTTTACAGGATACTTATCTAAGACGATTTAGTGGGTAAATTTGTTTTTTCACCCATTGGTTACTATATTTATTTCTTGAAAAATACAAAAGGACTAAGGGAAGTTGGCACATTTTTTACCTAAATTGGGCGGTAATGGGAAAAACGTGAGCTCTATCAGAAAATCAGGCCTTCTGAAAAGTTGTGATTTTTCAGGTTTCGATACGCTATTCACCAGAACTCATCATTCGTAATATTGAAACAATTCTTTCATTTTTCAGAGCTATAATAGGCAAACAATTGTATCAAAAAATTTTGTTTATATAAATAATCCGGAGGAGGAAAATAAATTTTCTTTTACAAAAAAATTTCAAAGTATTTGTCCCAAATTTAGATTGTTGCCAAAAATGCACAATTAACTATTTTTAAAAAACTCCACCGGAGAAATTGTAGTACAGTATGGAATGTATGTTTTGCTCCCAAGGAGGACGTTCTCTTGCCTTCTCTGGCTGCTGGTGGTCGATGATGTAATCAAAGACCTCAATGAATTATGATACCATAGCATAGGTTACGTAGATGAACTGGTAATAATTATAAAAGGGAAATTTGAAGGGCTCTAAATATTATAGGAAGATGGTGTGAGAAAAAGGGTTTAAATATAAACCCTAAAAAACATCTCATACCCTGCACAAAAAGAAGGAAACAAAGGCCCCAGTAGAAAAGAAGAAAGCTTAACATTTCCAAAGAAACAAAGTACCTTGATATAACCCTTGACCAAAGGCCCAAGTGGGGAAAAAATATAGACAACAGGCTCTATTAAGCATTGGCCCAAGACTTTGCAGTAAAAATCGGGGAATAAGCCACAAAATGGCGTACTGGTTATACACCACAACTGTAAGATTCTTCGGCAAATACGGAGCTCTAGCGTGGCGGCCAAAGACACTAAATAAGGAGACACAGAACAAACTACAAAGTCTACATAGACTATCGTGTCTCAACATTACAGGGGCAATGCATACCTGCAAGGAAACAGCACTCGACCTCCCATCCTTACATGTTTATGTGCAAAGGTGGGTTTTGAGAGTGTCAACATACTTCCTGAGATATAAGGAAATGAAGCCAGATCTAAGGAGCAGCCACCACAAAATTCTAAAAAGAATTAAAATTAATGAGATGGTTATAAGGGAGCCTGACAAAATAAGGGAAACGCTCAACTTTGACAGACCATTCCAAGCGGATATAGACAATAGACATTTGGAAGAAAGCTGGCCCCAATTTTCAAGAACGGGCCCTAATATGGAATACAGGTGTATCAACGATGGAACAGGGAGTAGGCGTGGGGGTAAAAGGGCCGAATCGCACCCATACGAAGCCACTTGGACTAACACAAACCATTTTTCAAGCTGAAATCTATACAATACAACTCTGTGCAAATGAGTTAATACAGAAAAATATGGAAGGTGAACATATATGCGTACTTAATTTCACTAATTTCGTGGTCCGCTTGACCAATTGAATATTACAATTAATTAAGGTTTTTAGTTGAGATAAAAAAGTCAATGGCACGAGCGGGATTCGAACCCACGATCTTCGGCTAGATACGCCGCTGCTCTACCACTNAGCAGCGGCGTATCAAGCCGAAGATCGTGGGTTCGAATCCCGCTCGTGCCATTGACTTTTTTATCTCAACTAAAAACCTTAATTAATTGTAATATATGCGTACTCTCAGACAGCCAGACAACCATAAAGGCATATCCTTTCAACTCCAAACTTGTCTTGGAATGCCTAACCTCACTAATGTCTCTGGGAAAGCAAAACAAGATAACCTGAAAGTGGGTTCGCGGACATGATGACACAGCAAGAAATAAACAGGCTACCAACTAGCCATAAAAGGGCAACCCTCTCACCCATGGGACCAGAACCACAACTAAGTAGTACAGAGTGTGGGCTTAAGTTGTATCTGATGTTGAATAGTCACATTTGAATTACAATAAATAAATTTGGCCGTAATTATCCAGTTTGCGTAGTGATTACAACATGCTAATCCATTGAGGAAAAGAAAAAAAAATCATCTATTTATATCACTGAGCCGTTAAATAAGCTGAATCTATTTCTTGATGCTGGTAACAATGCCGCAGTTCTGCTCCAGTTTAACGGATGGCGTCCATTCCACAAAGCGAGATTAGCAAAGTTATCTTGAGGTTTGGTTGGTCACCGCATTGATGAAAGTCCTTACAGTTTAGGTGCTTTAGGCTTAATGATATCGTCAAACAAAACCGCCATAACAGTCGCCGGGTAACAAAGTATTTATAGTATTTTACATTTTGTTTGACGGATTTATCGCCTGTAGTCAGGTTTTATTTGCGGTTTTATCTTTACATAAAAAAAACCAACGAATTTTATACGAGTACACTTTTATACTAATTTTAACAATGATGTTTGTTTGTAATTATCAATAATTAACGACTTTTCTTCGTTGATAATAAGGTCCGGGACAAAAAGAGAGCCCACCCTAGTATTTTGTTTATACATTACATATATGACTTTTTAAACTAAATTTTAATTGAATCTAGGTAATTAATTACCAGTGAAATTTTAATCCGTAGAAACAATAGTAAATATTGATTTTGATCTTGACTGTGCGCTCATACGAATAACACGTATCTCTTGTTGCTCCTGTTTTCTTTCGCTCGTTCATCGTGGAGATTCTCGCTGCTTTTTTTGAAGCCAATCCCCTGTAATTCCATTGATCCGATCTGCGAATATCTTTGCCCTGAAGGAGTGTTGTCACCCACTAATTGGAAATTAATTTGGGCGTTTCGCTGTATTTTCTTGCTGGACTTCCGGATGTGCTGATAAGGATACCCTCTCTCCAGCCCGAGAAGCCAACGGATCTACGGCAGGTGGGGCGCCATCGTCATAACAACAGGTAAACAATACGTTTTGTTTACTCCACAGACTTGGCTGTTGTTTCTACTGATACGCATGAACAATAAATCTTGTGTACATACAATCTGATGTGTGAAGTCGCTCGATACCTTTCACAATTTTAATACACGCCCCACATCATACACAGTTTAATTCAGCAGGATATTAAAAAATTTACAAAGAAGACAACGCTTCCCATGGCAAACGCAGCCAACAAAAGACCTAGAAGTTCACCTGGAAGTTTGCAAACCCCGACTCAAAAGAAAATAAACATGGTCTCTAACGAGCTGTTACAGTCATTCGCAAAAATAATAGACGAAAAACTTGAGACCTTTAGTGTAAAGATGAAAAAAGACATAGAATTGATAAGGACTGATCTAAACCAGAACCTTCTATGCATAAAAGAAGAAAATAATGCGCTCCGCGAAGAGGTTCTTACATTGAAGAAAGATGTCCAGGAGAATAGGCGACGCTTGGATGCATTGGATATGGCTCTAATAAAAAACACTATCATTGTCGGTGGCCTAGAAGTGAAGCAGGGAGATCACCCCATCCAAATGGCCCAGACTTTTTTTCAGTCGCGTCGTCCAGATATCCGAACCTATTCATATGAACTCAGCACAAGTCCTGGGTAAGGAGGGGGCTACAAGCAGGCATCTCTTGGTATATCTATCCTGTCTCCAGGTCAAGTGGAAAATACTAAACAGCTCACCTATTCTTCGTGGGACGGGTTACAGTATCGCTCAAGACTTTCCAGCATCGATCAGGCAGAAAAGGTTTAACCTTCTTCGCGTTCGAGACGAAATACGAAGACGTATTCCAGGGGCCAAATGTCTCCTGCGCTCTGACAAACTGTT